TTACTGCGAAGCTCCCCCTCCCCCCACACCAAGCCTCTCCCATCCTTGCCCCCTCGGCCACCCACCCCGCCCCTTGGCTCTTACTGCAGGGGGTGAGCCAGGTGCTCGTGGCCTAAACCTACTGATCAGAAAGGACGGCCGCATGGTGAATCTGGGCGGGAAGACGTCGGTACCCGTGTACCCTGGGGTAAGGATTGTCATCTGTCCAGTCCCATTTCCATCTCCCCAGCGCCTGTCATCCCACAGAAGGTGAACAGAGTTGCAGAAATAACCAGAGACCCAGTTTAATTTAGCTCCTGAAAGAAAGGGGGCAGCAAACCAGGTTCCATGGCTCTGGCCTGTGTTGTAGATGCACTGCTGTGGGGATGGGACTGCAGCAGGAGGTAGGTGGGGACTATGCCTGTGCTGAACCTGTCCCTCTGTTCCACAGGATGTGTTCTGCCTCCACACACCAGGTGGCGGGGGCTTTGGAGACCCAGAGGACCCTGCCCCACCTGTGCAGACCCCAGCCTTCTCTAAGCGAGGCAGAGGCAGCGTCTATGAGTACCACAGGGCCCAGGAGGCTGTGTGAGGGAGGGCACACACAATAAAGTCATCCTGCTCCCGCTGTCACTCCCCAGGCTCACGCTTTGCCTCCTTGCTGGTCTTTCCACCTGGCCTCACAGCTGTCTCCTGCGTTCCTGCCTTACAAGGGCATCGAAACTTGGAGCCGAAGTCCCACGGCCAGGTGGTCTGTGAGCCCTGCCAGGGCGGTGCTGAATGTCACCTGTTCTACCTCCTGGGGGCGGGAGTCAGGCTGAGGGATTACTCCAGCGCCAGCCTGCCCAGTGTCCTGAGCTTTGACACTTACTGGGCTCAGTGGACCTCCAGGTACTCCCCGGTAGGTGATGTAATCCACACGGCGGCCTCGCCAGGGCTTAGCCCTGCGGCGTCTGTGGGAAGGGCCTGCTAAGTAACGGTGGCGACCTTCCTCCAGCTCCAGGGCCCTGAGGAGGGGTGGTGTCATCAAGGCCAGGGCACCCCTCTGTTAGGGGCGATGCCTGGCGCCCAGGTCTCCGCTCACCTCCGCAGCTTCTCTGGGGAGCAGGCCACTGAGTGGTGGAGCCTGGAAGTGCTCAGTATCGTTCCTGGGGGAGGGCCGGGAAGGGCTACATCAGCGGGAGCGTTGGCAATCCAGCCCTCCACCCGGGGTCTGTCTCCAGCCGTACCCAGGGCCCAAGGTTGCTCCCGGCGAGTGCCCAGCCGGCAGGGGTCTCGGAAGCGGCTGAACAGCTGGTGCTCCTGTTCTTGTGCATGGCCTGCGGAGAAAGGCCTGAACTAGGTGGGCGGGCCCAGGACGCCCGCCCAGCCCCACTGCGGCCTCCCCGCACCTAGAGAACAGTTATCGAAGTTCAGGTCACCCAGGAGCACGCTGAAGGCCACGGCTTCATCACTGTGGCGGCTCTCAGCCTCAAACTGCTCCGCCCAGTCTAACAGCAGCGTCAGCTGTTTACAGCGTAAGGGCCCATCCTCTGCGGGAGCCGAGGGCGGGGGAGGAAGACTCAGCACAGGGTGCCCTTTCAAATACGGAACACACAACCGAGCCCCCCATCACCCACCCTGCCCGATCATCTGTGAGCCCACCCAGGCACTCAAGGGATTCGCGGTGTCTGGGGCAGTGAACAGAAACGGTGGGGGAGGGAGGAGCCATCTGCCCGCAGTCCTGACCGCCGGTCTCACCGCTCGGGGCATGCAAGTGCGTGCAGTGCAGGAAGCCCACGATGCGGTGTCCGTTAAGGATGCCCACCTGCGCCTGCAACACCACGGACAGCCCCAGCAACCCTCGCCCGTTGGACCCCACGCCCCACCCCCTCCCCTGGCCCGGGAGCGCTGCTGCCAGTGGGCGGGTACCTGTGCGGAAAGAAGTCCCTTAGAGGCCAGCGCGTCCTCACGGCGCGCGTGGGGGAAGGACCGGAAGGCAGCGCGCAGCAACGGGTAGCGCGAGGCCAGCAGCAGCCCGCTGCCCAGCAGCTTGAGGTGCGGCCCGGGCTGCAGGCCAAAAGTACCCACATCGTACAGCACTGGGCCCAGATTGGGTGCCAGGAGGCTCACCAGGCGGCGCTCCGCGCGCAGATCAAACACCTCCTGCAGGCACACGAAGTCCAGACCCACCGGCATGGTGGCTATCAGCACCCCACAGTGTGCCCCAGGCCCTGGCGGGCTGCAACCCACAGCCCCGTAGCGCGAGGACCGCAGGCCGGCGAGCAGCACCGCGCCCACGGCTTCAGCTCGCCGCTGGGTGTGCTGCAAGTTGCTGAAGTGCGCCAACCCGTCGGGGAGCAGGCACAAGTTGGCACTGAGAAAGCCGAAGCAGCGCGCGGGCTCAGCGGCGGGGCGCCAGGGCTCGGGGGGCGCCCAGCACTGCGGAGGGGGCTGGTAGCAGAAGGGGCGGCGCCAGGCCTGCAGCGGCAGCCAGAGCAGCAGGCCTGGCAGTGCCAGGGGCAGGCCGACGAGCCCTAGCAGCAGGAGCGCGGCCCCCGCTCTCGCTGCCGCGCTCAGCCCCTGCAGGCAGCTCGGGCGCGCGATTGGCGCCCAGCATCCCAGCAGCTGGTCCAGG